AATTGGCTAAATAAGGCGTTGGTTAATGCGTTGGCTAAGGCGTGGGCTAATGCATTGGCTAATGCGTTGGCTAAGACGTTGGCTAAGGCGTTGGCTAAGGGGTTGTCTAAGGTCTTGGCTAATGCGTTGTCTAAGGCCTTGGCTAAGGCGTTGGCTAATGCGTTGGCTAAGGGGTTGGCTAAGGGGTTGGCTAATGCATTGGCTAAGACGTTGGCTAAGGCGTTGGCTAATGTGTTGTCTAAGGCCTTGGCTAATGCGTTGGCTAAGGGGTTGGCTAATACGTTGTCTAAGGCGTTGGCTAAGGCGTTGGCTAAGTGGTTGTCTAAGGTGTTGTCTAAGGCGTTGTCTAATGCGTTGGCTAAGACGTTGTCTAAGGCGTTGTCTAAGGCCTTGGCTAAGGCGTTGTCTAAGGCCTTGGCTAATGCGTTGGCTAATGCGTTGTCTAAGGCCTTGGCTAAGGCGTTGTCTAAGGCGTACTTAGCCGCACAGCCACGCGAGAGCACCGCTCGACATCGTAGTCGTCGGAGTAGAATCTGTCACGCAAGGCTGCGGGCCATTACTGGCAAGTTCGTGTCCCTGGTACCGTAGGGGCCACAGCTACAATCTGCATATTGTCCGCGATTAATGATCAATAACGTTAGACATGGTCTATCTACTGCTCGATGAAGGCTTAGCTTCCTTCCCCCCCCCCCAAAAAAAATATAAAACCGTCGCAAGATATCACGGTATAGCGATGGATCGATGAATTCACTTCAGGTTTTTGCGGCTTAAAGTAAAAACCCAATGGGCTCTATAGATGCTCATTTTTCGATGGGGACCCGGTTAGAGAGACCCTGATTACAGCAGCAGCAGCAACAATAACAACAAAAACCACCACGAACAAAACGATGCAAAAACCAACTGGACATGGTACAAGCACCGATTGGCAAGATCGTGCGTTATCAGCAGGGCACACGCAACTCACACGACCACGGGGCTGACAGGAGGCACCTTGCGTGCAACACGCTTATAACATGTACAGCTGTGTACAGCTATGAATGAATGAACGAACGCGTAAACCCGCGCAGATGGCGGTGTGTAAACGTCTCCACTGGTGGGAAGACAAAGGTGACCGGTCGCGGTTGCTGAGCACGCAACCACCCCTCGTGTGTTGTTGCGGCTTCAATAGGTGCTCGCAAACAGATTGATCTGCACCTCGATGATTCGTTTCATACTAAATAGGGGATGTGTGTGTGTGTGTGCGGTGTGTGTGCTGCGCTAAGAACCTGACGACCCGGGTTCGATTCCCGCTCACGGCCAACACCAGTGACGATTATCTGAACCGGTCCTGGGCCTCCCTTAGGTCGACTCAGCCTCAAATGAGTACCTGGTGCGGTGTGTAAAGATCGCCACTGGGGAGACAAAGGCGGCCGGGCGTGGTGCTGGCCACCCACCCCCTCGTGTGCCGTGCCGGCATTCATAGGTGCTGCTCGCTAACAGCACTTGCCCCTACAGTCTGTTGAGGCTTTACGGGGGGATCTTTGTCTTTGTTTTGTGTAAAGCAATGTTTAACGATAGTGTTTGCATGCTTATTAAGTATGCTGAACTTCTTTCGCATCGTACGTAGCCAACCGTGCTTGTCGGAGGTGCGGCTTGGGTCTCCCCTACGTCCACTCAGCCTGAAAACAAAATACCCTGCTTTACCTTCGGAGTGTCAAAAATGTGTGCTTGAATCGCCAAGCCTCACACGCTCAGTCTTCTTAATTACACTTGCACGTACAGCACTCCCATGTCTATCCACTGCTGGTTGAGGTGAGAGGGGGCTTCTAGCGTCGTGTCGTTCGTGGGGGGTTGTTTGACCATACTTCACCACGCTGGTCAGTGCGGATTGCGAAAGGGGACGGAACCAATATCCCATATCACTCGCCAGCTGACGTTAGCCGTGAATCAAACTCGGTCGGCTAAGGTTCCTAGCGGAGTGCGCTAACCACATGCGCCATCACTCAACTCCAATCTTTATACATTGCATCAATAAGTCAGAGTGTCCCCACGCTCAAACGAGCAGGGGATACTGCTCATTTCCGTTTTTGGAACCTTGAGCTATTGGTGGAAATTAGACTTTTCTGTGACGGGAGCCGGTCCATTCATTGGTAAGCCCAAGCATTCGACTCGTATTCCTAACGGGGAAGCGAGCTTTTCCAACCTCCCGACCAAATTAGCCTGAGCGCTCTTAGCAGTAGCGGCACCACCCGTCCGCGGGCACGTGACACTTGTAGGGTGGCAGCCGCCTGCTGCTGCGGCTGACGATGCACGGACGGGAGATGGTCGGCAGCGCTGCGTAGGGCGGTCAAAGTCACGGTCGGAAAGAGTCGCGAATTCTCAAGTTCCAGCCGAGGTCCAACTCGTTCTCCTCTATGCACGCAATAGTCCGTGATAGGTGCTCTTTACCTCTCCTTTCCGTTCCCTTTGCAGCCCATCCGTGCTGTCCGCTCCCCTTTGCTCCTGCTCTGGAGACCGTCACCATCCTCTCCCCGGCCTCTGACTGACCACATGTCCGCACCCTGATACAATTAATGTATTTCTCTACGGCGTCGAGAGACGCGGATACATCGGCATTGTTGCGCTGTGTTGTCAAGCCAGCCTTCCTTCCCTCTGGAGTCGATACAATGAGTATGCTACTGCTGGAAGATTGGCAGCGGTTGCCCTATGGTCGTACTTGTACTCCACCATAGGAACGTGGAATTTCCACAATCTGGTGGCGAGTGCCCCTTTTCGTTCGATTTCTTTGCAGAATGCACGCCAGTGCCTCGTCGCCAACAATTGCGCCCACCATTACCATGATCAATTGACTGCTTGATGTAAATATTCCACCTGCATACGAGCAGATTGCATCGCTCCATCGGCTCGGTAAGGCGTCCTCTGTGGCGCACAACAACAATACTAATAATACACGGCCTTCATTTACCCCGGAGAGCCTCGCTGAGTCTCAGGTACTCTTTGGTCAAAAGTGTCCTGGCAATGGGATATGTTGATGTTCTCGGTTCTTTCGGTAAAGTCACGGAGATAAAAAAAAACACAAATCTAAATTGAAAGCAAAGAACTCACGACGTTTCGATCGCGACACAAGCGGTCTTCTTCAGGTGCACCGCTTGTGTTGCGATCGGAAGGTCGTGGTTTTTTTTTGCTTTTAATTTAGATTTTTGTTTTCTATCTACGTAAACGTTTTTTTTCCCCGAAAAAAACAAGAATATGAATTCCTGCGGTCGCGAAAGTTTTAAGTCGGGACATGTTGAGTCTGCTCCACGTAAATTCTCGACGAGTGCTTGGCGTGTGTGGTGCGAACGGGAGAACACGTGACGACGGTCCACGCATCGCGCGTACCATGGCCATGCGAGTGGGGAGTGTGAGCAAAGACTCGGCACAGATCAAGTGGGGAGTGTGAGCAAAGACTCGGCACAGATCGAGTGGGGAGTGTGAGCAAAGACTCGGCACAGATCGAGTGGGGAGTGTGAGCAAAGACTCGGCACAGATCGAGTGGGGAGTGGGAGCAAAGACTCGGCACAGATCGAGTGGGGAGTGTGAGCAAAGACTCGGCACAGATCGAGTGGGGAGTGGGAGCAAAGACTCGGCACAGATCGAGTGGGGAGTGTGAGCAAAGACTCGGCACAGATCGAGTGGGGAGTCGGAGCAAAGACTCGGCACAGATTGACTTAAGGATCTGCTTTTATCCCACCCGATGCTGTACTGTCATCAATGCATCTCTGTGCGACCGTTCCGCGTACACGTATGAGCGCTGCCTCTTGTGTTTGCCAGTAAATGCAATTATATTCAGGGCCTGACCTGAGGACAAAATAAACAAAAACGTACAATTTATATTGTCAATAGACTAGCAGGGCGAAGGCCTTCCCCACGCCGTGTCGATTATGGGGGGGGGGGGGCGGGGGGGTACATTTGACCATACTTCACCACGACGGTCTGTGGGGATCGGTGAAGCGGAGGGAGCAAGGGGGGTGGAGGAGGGAGATACATGACCGGTTCAGATACAGCGAGCCACCGATGCTCGCCGTAGCGCATGGCATGGGAAGACGCAGCTGACTGGGTGCAAGGCGCGGCCCGCACGTGTCCAGCCAGGCCTTTGTGTCAAATCGTGCGCGACTTTCCTATTCTGATTTGAACAACAAAAATAATAATACATTAATGTATTGCATTTAGAATGCTTCACGTCGGAATGTGTTTTTGTTGTTGTTGTTGTTGTGTGTGGTTAAGGGGGAGAGTATATATTACACAATCATTTTTTTGTCATTTGTATCACCAATTGATGTCGGTTTGACCATACTTCACCACTCTGTTGGTCAGTGCGAGTCGGTGAAGGCGGGGGGAGGGGGGGGTAAGACCCCCCAGGACCGGGTCACAGAGATCACTCGGCACCGACACTGCACCTTTTAAGGCAAAGGTGCAGCCCTGCAATTTATTTCTTGCTCACGCCACTGTTGGAGGAAGGGACGCTCCCAGAGGACGCTCTTGAAATCCCTTCCAACGATGGCATTTTGGCCTACTCTTCCATGTTGACCTGACAAGACGTTTTGGGAGAATCAACATCTGAATGTGTATTTATACTGGAAGAATCCAATGAGCTATGAAGCTCTTTTGCACGCATGTCCAGTAGAGGGTCAGAATACTCACACTTTACCCCGCCGCAAGCGACTTGCCCAATCGACTAACCGTGGTGTAGGTATACCCCCCTGTCATAATGTTGTGTAGGCAGAGGTTGGGGGCTGAATCGGGGGTGTGTTACGATTCAATAAACGACATCATTGTTTCAACTGCTGCCGCCGCCGGGATAGCTAACAGTTCAGATCAGTTTATTTGGAAGTACCCTGTGAGCTAAGAAGCCCCTAAGTCGGGTTCCGTCAATAAATGGGTGACCCTCTAGATTGCAAGTCCATCATTGTGCTATCCATCAACCATCGCACCACGACGTCACCCCCTAACCATTGCCCGTCTGTTTCGTGGCCCAACAGCGCACGCACTCGCGATGGGAGACAGCTGCGCATACCCAAGTAAGTTGACCTGCGACAGCCTCTCGGGGTGGGCGACCTTCATACAGCAGTGGATTGATCACGGCTGCCGATGACGCCGCGGTGGGCGAGATGCTAACCGCTTCGCCTCGTATGCAGGAGGGCGTGGGTTCGATCCCGACCCTGACGCCTGCCGCTGTATATTTGGAGTTTGCGGTGTCTCTCTCCCCGGGTCCTCCGGGTTTTCCCTCCACGTTTTAGAATCAACGTGCGTGTCAATGTCCACTTCGTTGAGCTATCATTTGTGATAGGTCGCTTTTGAAACAAAGAGCCACATCGCTCAGTGGGCATTTTCTGTAAAAAAACAAAAAAATTGGTTCATAGTTGTCATCATAGTTTAGTTTGCTGATGGCCGATCGTTGTCCCGCGGTGACCGCCACCCCCCCCCCCCCCCCCCCCCCACAGCGCACGGGCTCGCGATGGGGGACGGCGGTGCCTACTCGGGCAAGGTGCACGAGGAGTGGGGCTCGGCCATGAGCAGGGCGAGCTTCCAGGCGGCCGCGCAAGGAGTCAACGGCATGGAGAAGCAGAGTCCCGGGGAGCCCGAGCACAAGTACTCGCAGGTACGCGGCCACGCACGAGCAGAGCGCGTGCTATACCTGCACACACCCTCCTCCATGGTGTACTCCACAGACACCTCTACACAACACAGCTCCCCCTACACTACATAGACACCTCTACACTACACAGCCTCCCCTACACCACACAGCCTCCCTCCCCTACACTACACAGCCTCCTCTACACTACACAGACACCTCTCCACTGCGCTGCCTCCTCCTCTACCAGCCACAGTTCGACTCGATGGCTCTTTTTCTGGTATCGAGATGTTAAATGATACAAAAAGGCTTCTTGCGTTAATACAGTTGCTCTTTTTGTTTACCATGAGTATGTGAAGTTCAAGATATTTGATGGCTTGTAATTGGTGTCTATTTGGTGTCTGCCAATCGACCCACAGTACACTCCAAATTCTGGTCCTCTACACACAGAAGCAACCTCCTCTATAAAGACACAGATACCCCTAATGTTTGGTTCTAAATCGAACCAAAGATTAAACAAATTTTCAATGGTACAGTATATTTTTTCAAGTAGTGGTATCCCAAACTTTCGCAGTTGCTTAAATTCCCTTTTCACACCATCAATATGTAAACTCCCCCTCCCCCCCCTCGCCGGTCTGCGCAAGTTCACCCCCTCTAAACCGTTCACCATGCTAAGTCCGCCAATTAAATGCTAATTTTTATGCTAATTCCTTTGTCAAGGCACCTTAATTCATCTCACACGAGCTTAAAGGTCGCGGTCTGAGCTTGGCTGTGTTCACTCCAGCGCTGTCCTCGAGACAGTCTGGTCCCTTCACCTGATGAAGGCCACTTGTGTTGTGGCCGAAACGTCGAGAATTTTTTATTTTTTGTTGTTTTATACTTTTACGTGACTTTACCGAATAGAACCAAAGAGTATGGATCCTTGCAGTCACGAGAGCTTCAAATCTAGAATTTAACAGACTGTTGGGGAAAGTGCTGTTAGCGATCACCGAATGAAGGCGTGGCACGGCACGCAAGGCAATTGGAGGTGGCCAAGACCACTCCAGGGCCCCTTTGTCTGCACAGTGCTGATTTTTACGCACCACACCAGGTAGTAACTTAAGGCTGAGTCGACCTACGGGAGGCACGGGACCGGTCCAGATGTATTCGTTACAGATGTTGACCGTGATGATCGGGAATCGAACTCGGGTTCGTAGCGCAGTGCGTTAACTCACACGCACACAGACTCAACAAGGGGCATTAGCGAGACACTCGCATTGTTGACCGAAGCCTGCACAGTGCGTTGGTGAAGTTGTTGACAGGCACTATAAGGTGGTGATTGATTGGTTGGTGGTTGTGAGTGGTGTGCCTATGCACTTGCCGCAACAGTATGTTAAGGCTATATGGGGGATCTTTGTCTAAGTAGCTGCGCGTTCCATTGTAGAGGCGCTAGGTTGCATCAATCTATCGATCACCGTTATATCGATTATGATCGCGATAGGATTACAATGGTCTTCTCGTAGTGATGTGTTGTGCTGCATGCGGTGGTGAGATGTTAATTCCCTCGCCTGCTATGGAAGAGGTCGTGGGTTCGAACTCGATCCTGACTGCCTGCTGTATATTTGGAGTTTGCGTGAATCTCTCTCCGTGGTCGCGTGCAATTTTCTTCCGGGTGCTCCGGATTGCTCCCTCCACATTTAGAGAGCTACAGTGAGGGAAAAAAAGTATTTGATCCCCTGCTGATTTTGTACATTTGACCACTGACAAAGAAATGATCAGTCTATAATTTTAGTGGTAGGTTTATTTGAACAGTGAGAGACAGAATAAATTGATTTGCAAATTGATTTGCATTTTAATGAGGGAAATAAGTATTTGACCCCTCTGCAAAACATGACTTAGTACTTGGTGGCAATACCCTTGTTGGCAATCACAGAGGTCAGACGTTTCTTGTAGTTGGCCACCAGGTTTGCACACATCTCAGGAGGGATTTTGCCCCACTCCTCTTTGCAGATCTTCTCCAAGTCATTAAGGTTTCGAGGCTGACGTTTGGCAATTCGAACCTTCAGCTCCCTCCACAGATTTTCTATGGGAGTAAGGTCTGGAGACTGGCTAGGCCACTCCAGGACCATAATGTGCTTCTTCTTGAGCCACTCCTTTGTTGCCTTGGCCGTGGGTTTTGGGTCATTGTCATGCTGGAATACCCATCCACGACCCATTTTCAATGCCCTGGCTGAGGGAAGGAGGTTCTCACCCAAGATTTGACGATACATGGCCCCGTCCATCGTCCCTTTGATGCGGTGAAGTTGTCCTGTCCCCTTAGCAGAAAAACACCCCAAAAGCATAATGTTTCCACCTCCATGTTTGACGGTGGGGATGGTGTTCTTAGGGTCATAGGCAGCATTCCTCCTCCTCCAAACACGGCGAGTTGAGTTGATGCCAAAGAGCTCCATTTTGGTCTCATCTGACCACAACACTTTCACCCAGTTGTCCTCTGAATCATTCAGATGTTCATCTGCAAACCTCAGACGGGCATATGTGCTTTCTTGAGCAGGGGGACATTGCGGGCGCTGCAGGATTTCAGTCCTTCACGGCGTAGTGTGTTACCAATTGTTTTCTTGGTGACTATGGTCCCAGCTGCCTTGAGATCATTGAGAAGATCCTCCCGTGTAGTTCTGGGCTGATTCCTCGCCGTTCTCATGATCATTGCAACTCCACGAGGTGAGATCTTGCATAGAGCCCCAGGCTGAGGGAGATTGACAGTTCTTTTGTGTCTCTTCCATTTGCGAAAAATCGCACCAACTGTTGTCACCTTCTCACCAAGCTGCTTGGCAATGGTCTTGTAGCCCATTCCAGCCTTGTGTAGGTCTACAATCTTGTCCCTGACATCCTTTGAGAGCTCTTTGGTCTTGGCCATGGTGGAGAGTTTTGAATCTGATTGATTGATTGCTTCTGTGGACAGGTGTCTTTAATACAGGTAATAAGCTGAGTTTAGGAGCACTCCCTTTAAGAGTGTGCTCCTAATCTCAACTCGTTACCTGTATAAAAGACACCTGGGAGCCAGAAATCTTTCTGATTGAGAGGGGGTCAAATACTTATTTCCCTCATTAAAATGCAAATCAATTTATAACATTTTCGACATGCGTTTTCCAGGATTTTGTTGTTGTTATTCTGTTCCTCACTGTTTAAACAAACCTACCATTAAAATTATAGACTGATCATTTCTTTGTCACTGGGCAAACGTACAAAATCAGCAGGGGATCAAATACTTTTTCCCTCACTGTACTTTGTTGAGACGTCAATTGCGGCCGCTTTTGAAAAAATATCCATACAGATCAGTGGGCCTCACCTGGTAAAATAAAACGTTAAGTTAAATACATTTATATTGTCTGCACTTGTTTCAATAGGTTTGCTAAATATTGTCCTTGTGCTGGTGTGAAACTCCCGAAGTGTGTTGCTGAAACCGCAACTTTAATTTCATCAACGGTTTATCAACATTGTCATAGACATCTCCGCCTACATATTGAACAAAAACAAATAGCTGAATTTAATGGCATATGCCCACACGCACACACGCATGCACACACGCACACACGCACGCACGCACAAAGATAAAGATCCCCCATATTGCCTTAACAGACTGGAGGGGCAAGTGCTTGTTAGCGAGCACCTATGAAGGCCAGTAACGGTACACGAGGGGGTGGGTGGCCAGCACCACGCCCCACCGCCTTTGTCTCCATAGTGGCAATGTTTACACACTGCACCAGGTACTCATTTGAGGCTGAGTTAAGATAATCGTCACAGGTGTTGACCGTGAGCGGGAATCGAACCCGTGTCGCCGGGTTCATAGCGCAGCGCGCTAACCGCTACACTATCGCACGCACACACACACGCACACACCCACACACGCGCACACACGCGCACACACACACACGCGCACACACACACACGCACACACACACACGCACACACACCCACGTGTAATCTCTACAAGCGTAGAAACTCCGCGTCGTCGGAGTTCCGCGTTGCGTGCCGACCGATGCCCCCCCTACAGCTGCGCCCCTCCCTGGGGGCTGCGTCTGTGCAGTGGGGATGCGTCCCGTGTCGGTCAAGTTGCTGTCTGCCTGTTGAACGCACATTGTCAACAGTCTGCTGTTTCGTAGCGTAGTGCATTCAACACCAGTGATGATTATCTGGTCCTAGACCTTCCCTAGGTCGACTCAGCCTCAAATGAGGACCTCGTGTGGTGTGTTAGAATTGCCACTTTGTTGCTGGCCATCCACCCCCTCGTGTGCCGTGCCGGCCTTAATAGGTGCTCGTCAACAGCGCTTGCCCCTACAGTCTGTTAAGGCTACACGGATGAGCTTTGTCTTTGTTACAAACCCTTATCATTCGACCGCTGGATGAAGGCAACCCCCGATTATTTTGGGAGAGATATTTGACGACAACTTCACGATGACGGTCAGTGTCTGTGTGTGCGTGCGTGCGTTCGTGTTAAAGGGGGCTGGCTGTGCTGGGGGAGTGGGCGGGTGAAGGAGAGAAGACGGAACGCTAGCGGGCGGGTCCCGATGCCGCTCGCCACTGGTGTTAACCGTGTGCCATGGACATCGATTAACCCAGGTTGGCTGAGCTCATAGCTTGGTGCGTGGCGTGTGGGAGGGAGGGGTTGGGGCAGGACCAGGTTTGCGATGTTGCCCAAGGTCGGGAATCGAACTCGGATGGAGCTGGGTTCATAAGCCCAGCGCGCAAGCCATCGCAGCGGGAGCATCGCATGCAAGCGCGCGATGCTCTGATGTCACGTTTCGTCGAATAATTCACGAACGAAAGATGCAGACGCATAGAGATGATTGAGTCATAAATTGTCAAAATGTGGATCAGAACGAGCGACAATTCATCGATTACACTTTGCGGGGAGCGGGCGAGGAGGAGGAGGGTCGCATGACGCAAATGTAACAGTCGGTTCTCTATGACGTCATGTCCTATGACGACATGTCCTATGACGACATAATTCCGCGTGGTCCTGAGCGATGGTCCCGGAGCCAGTGGGATAC